ATTTTAAATTTCGCAAGGAATGTTTAATTTTGATTGTAATTAATTTTTTATTAAAGATTATGGCTAAGTATTTTTTTGTTTTATTTATTTCTGGTGTTCTAGGAAAGGGTGAAAGGAAGGTTATTGGGGTTTTTCCTCCTCTTCTGTCCCTGCTAGAGGCCTTCTTGGCCTTGTGTCTTCCCGGGTGGTCCTGGTATCGACTCTTCGGCTAGGTCGTCAAGGGGGTCCAGGAAAGAGGCGCCTCCACCAAATGTCACGAAACGTCTCTGCTTCGCTGTGTAGCTCGACTATTCACCCTGAAAAGCAGAATGGGAAGGGAGGAGTAACAGGGAAACACCAGAACAGTTTTAAATAGCTAATATATATTGTTACAGGACGGAGATTACGGAAACATGAATATTTAGTTATTACCACATCATCGTCATCTGGGACCAGATAACGTCCCTTCGGGTGGTGAGGCTCAAAAAAGGGCGGACAGTCAAACGTCGGGTATACCCCTGCAAGGCTAAACAACCAAACCAGCCCTACAGGAAAATCTAGAAAGCCTTTTCACTGTAGGTCAAAGCCTGGGTCGTCAGAGAGTATCTGCCCTGATAGAGATACGATAGCGTATTAACTTTATCAGTTTAGATAGTTCCCCAACTTTGAGTCGTCTCTAAACACCTACTGATTGCAGCGAAGCGCTGAGACACGACTAATTTGCCATGGTGTGGCCCGGGCTTTTATATCCAATATTTGCTGACTATGATTAGGATAATTTGTGTTTTCTTGCTTAGTTGCAGTTATTTGTTATAACCCGTGGTTCAGTGTTTTGAATTTGGTTATAGCCCGTGGTCCCATGTAGGGTTGACAATATTAAAAGAGCGATTTGGATAAAATGTACCTAATTTAATAACAAATGCAATTTATTAGGAAAAAAGCTAAACATGAAAACGCGGATGCGGAGAAATTATTCCTAGTCGGATGACGATGATGATGATTCATCACCATCAAAGTTAACAATCAGGGGCTCTATTCTGGTTTCCATCATAGCATCCATAGTCCACATACTTGTCTCCACTTTCAGCACATGCCCAACAGCATTTTTCCAATTTTCAGGACTAACGTTGTAGACTGCTTCATTAAAAAAAAATTTAACATCTGCAATTTTGAAGGTTGTATTTTTTCGGGCCACTTCTCCTTTAATTTGTGCCCATATCAACTCAATAGGATTTAATTCGCAGTGGTACGGAGGTAATCTTTCGACTGTTCTATTGCAAGCTCTGGCCATTTCATCAATTACGTATTGGTTCTTGTGAAAACTTTCGTTTACGAGCGTTAATATTTCTGCCTTCACCATATCCTCTTCAAAGCCTATATTTTTCCTAGTTAGCCAGGATTGTATATCAGCTTTTTTCGTAGATGATGTCGGTTTCTTATCAATTATTCTAGAATGGTAAGATGCATTGTCCATCACTATGACACAATTTTCTTCCAAGCGAGGTAAAATATTTTCAAACTATTGCTCGAAGACTTGGGAATTCATTTCCTCGTGATAGTCTCCAGTTTTCTTTGACTGAAAGAGGAGCAAGCCGTTCTCAACAAATCCATCGTTTGAACCAATATGTAATATAATGAATCTTTGTCCTTTACCTGTGGGATTCTTCAGTCCTGTAGATAGTCCATTTACGAAAGCTTGCCTCGCCGTAGTGACAGTTTCGTCGCTCCATACTTTTGGAGTGACATGGCCAGCATTAATCCAGGTTTCGTCCAGATAATAAATCTTTTTTCCACTCGCTCTTACTGCTCGGATATTCCGTAAATAGCGTCGCCTCCAGCTCACAATTTCATTTTTTTCTTTTAGCATGCTATTTCGACTTCTTCTACCATACCGAAAACCAAGTTCACGGAGCAACTTTTTAAACGAGCTTTTCTTGAAATTAGGGATGTCCTCTCGCTCTTGAATAGCTGCTAATATTGCCTTTACACTAGGAGACTCGTTCTTGATAAAAAATGAATGAATAAATCTCCGAACTGAATTTTTTGTTTCCACATCTACAGTGTGCGCCATAAAGTTGGGTACATATGGGAAAATTCTTAATTATTCCTTTTTTCAAAAAACTTTTTTTGGGGATCGTTAGGGCATGTTCGATAACCAAAAAATCGATTATGACACATGTCATGTTATTTTTCTGATGACCTGAAAATGTGCAAAAAGGGACGTGGGTACAGTTATACCGACACGACCGGACAGTTTTTTCTAATTTATGACCTTCAAGTATGTATTTCGCAAAACAATCGATTCGTTTGATATCAAACTTATGTATTTTAGTTGAATTAAGCTATTTTTGAAATAAAATTAATATTTTCGATTTTCCATTAAATGGAATGGGTAAAATAAGTAGTTTTATTTTTTATTCTCTGATTTGCTTCAAAATCGGCAAGTGGAGTTCTTTTTGGATTCTGAACAACTTTTTCCTATAAAATTTTTTGATATCTTGCCAAATTTACCCGTTTTTCGACATCAGCAACAACTTTTTTCAAAATTCCCGCTAAACCGATAATCACATGACATGTGTCATAATCGATTTTTTGGTTATCGAACATGCCTAAACGATCCCCAAAAAAAAAAAAACTTTGAAAAAAGGAATAATTGAGAATTTTCCCATATGTACCCAACTTTATGGCGCACACTGTATATTGTCCAAAACAGATTTTTTTCTTTTGTAAGCTTTGGCTGGCTTCAGTTCATGCTCGTTTTTGTGTTCCCGAAGAACGTTGTAAAGGCTGGCTACTCCAATACCCATGGCCTCTGCTGTGAAATTCACTTTCTCAGTTTTTGTACAATCTGCATGATTTTGGTCACAAGTTTTGAAGGTATTTAGGATTGTCTCCTTTTCAGACACTGACAAATGTCTTTTCCTCCGTCTTCTTGGTGGAGATAAATTTCCATCATTAGGATCCAAAAAAACAAATTGAATCGCAAAAAAAAATCTAAAATAGCACAATTCGAATCACAGCACAATGTCACAGACGAACAACATCAACTAAATGCGCTCCACTAAGAAATTATCTGTTATTTAGAGGGTTGTGGGATAATTTATGGGCGTCGGTTAACAGGTAATCGTTTTACAACTATATTTCTTCGGTGGCCCGACTATAGCAATTCACAAAAATTAATTTTGCGTAATGTCCCGCCGTCCGAGAGCCTTGAAAAAATTTACAACCCTGAAAAAGCCTTAATTTTCGTCAATTTTAGATTGTACTATATGTTAACTACTCGTAGCAATCCACAAAAATTAATTTTTTCTCCAAACGTCAAAAAAACGTCACTTTGTCAACACCTGTCAAGATGTTAGAAATTTAATTTCTATGCTGCTAAGCAACCGCAGCGACAGTACAAGTACTTTTAGTGCCGCTGGAGCGGCGGCAAAACCCCTTTTAGTGCCGCTCGTACTTTTACTGCCGCTCAACTATTCAGTTACCCCCGAGCTTACCCCATAGCGTATTGCATACAGAGTAGAAGCACTTTTTAAAGATTTTACTCCTAATACAACAATATACTATTATTTGCAAACGTCATATAACAGTAATTTTTGTGATCATTTTGATAAGGTATAAGAGTCACTTCAATGACTTTCAGCTTGAGCGGCGTACAACATTTATACGCCGTTAATAGGCCAGGGCAAAAATAGGAGAAGTTTTTGCAATCAAGCTGATTTTTTCACAGATGATAGTACCCATCAATAGTACTTCCGAATTAAAGATCAGGGCTTCGAGAGAGATCGTAACTTTCCTATTTATTAACCGATTTTCGTCAAGTGAAAAAAATCCTTTTGTTTTTGATGTATTCATAACTCTGGAGTGATCTAGAAGGAGTATGAATTTGAACAAGTTGCAAGAAGTCACTACAGTCTATATAGTATTTTATAAATAAAGATTCTATCAAAATTAATTCTCCTCCATCCTGTTGGTAAACAAAATAACAAACAATAGTGAGGTAAGGCTATGATGTGTATTTTATGTTATTATTTCTTGACTCAAAAGTAAATTATTTGTGATTTAACTTATCTTCCCATAGTTGAATTCTCACATTTAAATGGACTTCACAAAGGTTAGCAGGGCTTTTTAATAAAATATCTTCAGGCGTCTCATAGCTGTAAGCCAACTTTTTTTCTTTTAGTAGGTAGGTAGTTTAATAAATGTGTTTTCCAGAGTGGAAAATATACTTTTACAACCTGGTGCGATTTTCCCGTATTGGTTCTTTTTCCTTTTGTCTTCACAGAGGTCTGATCTTTAGTTTGAACCAGATGGCGGATATCGGTTTCAAATTCTTGTGCATAAACATTCCCACCGTAGTTTTGTTGTGAAGTTGGCAGCAGAGTCTTCATTACGTCGAAGGCACGGCTACACAAGGATGCCATAGAGCTGGTAACCATGTCATTAGAAATCCACATTGTTGTGAAAGTGCAGCAGGCTGGTCGTATTCTCTTTTTTTCTGATTTTTTTCCCTTCTTTTGTGTTCTATCTTCAGCTTTCTCTTCTTGTCATTCTTCACGTTTTCAAGCTTCCTGTTCTTGTTTCCTTTTTTTTTTTTTCACGCAGTCCAGCAACATTTGAATGCTTACCTTAGAACGCTGTGTCTTTCTCTTGAAACTTGATTCGAAATATAAAGTGGCGAAGTCAAAATTCTCGTACCTCTATTAGAAAACTAGACAAGGACCTTGTCTAGTTTTCTAATAGAACACCATTGAATGTTCTAGAAAAATTACTCTCTGGACTTATTTTCCGATATCAAAACGAGTCATAAGTTCACTGTTTCAGTCTGACGCTAATTGGCTCAGACTGATCCACTAGTTATTTAACCAATCATTACACCAATAAGCTCAAACCAATACACCAAATGTATCGCTCATTTTCCCACTCCTCACACCAAATTGTCACGAATTATGTGGGTCCAACAACTTAACGTTAATTTTATTTTAAATTATATGATTATTATCAGTTATTTAACGTTTCTAATGCTTCAAATTATTGCAGACTATTTTTCAGGTGCTAAAATAATGAAGAACCTCATCTCTACACTGTTAGCGCTTTCATCTTATTATTGCACTGCATTTGGGCGATGCCAAGTAGAAACTGAAAATGCACAACGGTATCGACAGAATTGTGATTATGATTATTGTGAAAATGCATTCGAAAAGGTTGCAGTAAGACAGGATATCTCATGTTATGATACAAGTATTTCTATGGTTCAGGAGACAGTTTCTGCGGACCTAAAAACAACCATAATTATAACCGATTCATCAATTGAAATTTTAGCACCTAACAGCCAATACAAATGGGAACAGTTGGAGGAATTCCGAATGCTGAAAACAAACACTAGTGAAATAATTCCAGGTTTTTTTAATAGCTTCAATAATTTACTAGAACTGCAGATTGTCAAAAATAATGTCAAACAACTTACAAGTGGAGTTTTTAGTCCTTTGTTTGCGCTTAAGCATTTAAATTTATCAGAAAACGTAATTGAAACTGTAGCACCACATAGCTTTTCTGGTTTGTCAAATTTAGAGATATTAGATTTAAGCAAAAACAGAATTTCAGTTTTACCTCCAAATATATTCGAGTATCAAATAGTATTATCTCATGTGGATATTTCTAAAAATAATCTCAGTAACATTGGAAATATATTCAGCTCAGATAAAATAAGTTTTTTAAATGTATCACATAATTATTTAATTGATATAAATATATCACAATTCCATGTTTTAACAATACTCGATTGTTCTTTTAATATGATCGAAAATGTTGTTGCAAATGGCACGTCTGATTATTCTGTAATTGAGCAAATTTATCTTTCATATAATAAAATAAGTAAACTTCCAAAAATAGAAAACATTCGATATCTCAACATAAGTCATAATTCTATACACAGCATTGATACAGATGTTCTAGGTGATAAAATTATAAGTCTTGATATAAGTCATAACCATATATGCAACGTAACCACGGGAGCTTTTCAGAAGTCAATCAATTTACAATATCTTTATTTTGATCATAATAATTTAACATCTTTGTCAATTGACATTTTCTATAATTTACTCCAACTTGAATATTTAGATTTATCTTCTAATCAAATAAAACAAATTCCTTTTGGCTGTTTTAATGATTTAGGAAATTTAACTTACTTAGATTTGTCTGATAACAATATGAATCTACAGTTCCATACTTTCTCGACTTTAAAGTCATTAAACACATTGAAATTTCAAAATAATAAAGTCGTTTCTTTTGATTTAAACACAATATTATTGCATTTCAAAAAACTAAAATATATTACGTTAAATGACAACTCTTGGAATTGTAGTGGATTAGCCTCGGTAATACAACAGCTTCAATTGAATAATATTAGCTTTATGCGTGGCCAAAATACCAACGTTAGCAATATTTTAGGTATATCTTGTACAGATGATACGTTTCTGAAAGAAGATATAATTTCAATTAAAAGAACTAACGAGAAATCTAATAATAAGGAAATCGTATATTCTGTACCAGCAGAAAGTATTGATAATATCATGAAAAATACAAAATTTTTCAAATATTTACAAACTATTGCTGAATATGTTTCCAAAAATATATCGAACGATCTTAATGTTTTTGGAGGTAAAAATGTTAAAAATACAACTTTTTTCAAACTAATGAATAATTTCGCAACAAACACTTCAAATTCAATAAGAGATATAGCATTAAATGTTAGTAATTTTACTAAGAATATGAATGAGAGTTCAAGTAATTCAGCAAATAAACTTGAAGCTAATTTAGTAAGATTTTATAATGGAAATGAAAGAGCTGCCAACGAAACACAAAAATTAATGTACAAACAAAACGATATTTTAGAGCAAATATTAGCAAAAAATGCATCTAATATTAATTTATCTACTAAACAAAATGAAATTTTGAGTAACATAAATCGACTATTATTGTTGAATTTGAAATCCACACCGGTTGCTGAAATTAAGCCGGTAGAATCGAGTGCTGCCCTAATAGGCGAACCTCATGACGTTGATACATATAAAGCATTTAATTATTTGTATTTAATTATAAATAATATTTTGTTAGTAATTATAGTTTGTTGTATATTATTATTAGGTTATGGTATGTATTTTAAACTTAACTTAATGCCTGTTAATTCCAATCAAGAGCAGGTTCAGTTAATGTGAATTATTTTGTAACGTCTTTATTTTTATTTTTTGGAATGCTGGTTTTCTAAAAGATACCATTATACTATTACAAACTATTTATACTGGAAAATAAATTTTCTATCGAACTTCTAAGACAATAAAGAAATTTGTAAGTAAGTAAAATAGATTTTTATTTATTCAACTAAAATCGAATTGGAAAAAATAGGCGAAAGTAGAGTAGGTGAGTATTCTAAAAAAATAAATATTCAGTAGTTATATCCCTATAGTACAGCGGATTAGCTAACCTATTGTGCACTTTTTGATAAAGGCACTAAATTTGGTACAGAGGTAGACCGATGTGATATGAATAAATTGTGGAGCCATCGGCCAACTGCCCCCGGTGGCCGTGGCGGCGATGGTCCAAAATGGCCGCCAGTGGACACCCCGAATGACAACGGAAGTTGGATAAAGTTTGCTACTGCAGGTTTTAGTGAATGTTTATTGATGGTTTTCAATGAAAACATACCAGATAGTTTGTAAGTTATACAGGGTGGGGCACGAAAAACTTCCCACCTAGGTTTTCTCAGGTCGTGGGTGATTAATCTAAAATTGCTCGGACACGTCAATTTTTGTTTTTTGAGGGACACATTTTATTGGTATTTTCACTCTCTACCCGCAAAATTTCAAACGGAAAGGGGCTTCGAGTGATACAATGTACACTTGGTCAAACATAAAACTGGTACAGGCAATATATATTTTTCAAATTTGCCTAGTGTGAGTCAGGCTTAACAACAAAAAGTATCTTCTGAAAAACGTCAAAACTGAACAAAAGTAAATGCAACATATGTTCTTATGTTATAATTGGTTTAAATATGACACTGACTTGACTCTTGGTGTCATTGTTGAGGTGATAAAAAAAGGTCGATTCACACAATACAATACAAAAGGAAAATGGGTACCAGTTTTATGATTGGCCAAGTGTACTACTACTAACTAACTTTGACGAGCTGCCATTTCGGCAGGGACTATTTACCCTGCCGCAACCTTAAATTTCGAGGATATATTCTTAATAAAACTTTCCATAAAATGACGTATCACTCGACCAACCTATTTGAAATTTTGGGGGTTCCTGTCTCCTCCGCTTAGGAGTTGACCGGTAGGGGGGTAAAAATACCAATAAAATGGTCGAGCGATTTTTGATTATTCACCTAACATCTGAGAAAACCTGGGTGGGAAGTTTTTCGTGCCGCGCCCTGTAGATACAAAGTGTCCAACGACGTTTTACCCAGGTGATAACTTCGGAACGCGTCATCCAATATATAATTGAAATTTTGAGGATCTGATAGGTAACTTTTTGTGCCGCTTCTACTATTGTCATTTAATTTCACTTTCGCTTCAGTGGCGGCAACTTTAGAATCTTAAATGTAACTGATGGTCTTATATAATTTTTCGTTAGAAAATTAAATTACAAAATCGGCAATGCCATATTTGCTAAGGCTTTGTCAAAGAAAATGATGAACAATTACAAAGTGTACTCGATGACGCGTATAAAAAGGATGGGGCACGAAAAACGTCCCACCCAGGTTTTCTCAGGTGCTAGGTGATTAATCAAAAATAGCCCGACCATTTTATTGGTATTTTCACTCCTTACCTGTCAACCCCTACGCGTGGGTGAGAGGTACCTACCTCCAAAATTTCGAACAGAAAGGGGGGGTCGGGTGTTACGTAATTTGATAGACATTTTTATTGAAATTTGTATCCTCGAAATTGTAAGTTGCTACTATTTACCTTGCCAAAATTGCGGCTTGTGAAAGTTAGGAAATAGTACATTCTATCACTGGAATTTTGCGAGTACCTGACACCCCCCGTTAGGGGTTGGCAGGTAGAGGATGGAAATATCAATAAAATATGTCCCGCAAAAAACAAAAAATAACGTATTCCAGCGATTTTTGATTAATCATCTGAAACCTGAGACGAGACCTGAGGAAACCTAGGTGGGAAGTTTTTTGTGTCCCACCCTGTATAACCTGAAAATCACCTGGCATGTTTCTGGCATGTTTTCATTCAAAACAATCAATAAACATTCACTAAAATCTTCAGTAGCAAACTTTATCTTACTTCCGTTGGTTTTCAGGGTGTCAACTGACGGCCATTTTTAAAAATCGCCGCCACGGCCGCCGGGGGACTGTTGGCCGATGGCTCCATATCCAAATTTGTTCATATTACATCGGTCTACCTCTGTGCCAAATTTGGTGCCTTTATCAAAAAGTGCACAATATGTTGAAATATCCTAGCTAAGCTGCCGCACTACGAGGACATTGATAATGTGTGAGATAGTTTAAGGGCGAAGGGCTGTTACCAACAACGTGCCTGAGAAATTTGGCATAAAATGATGAGGCATTCGACAATGTCCGAGGGATATTCCAAGGAAAGGAGGCTGTGTGCATGTGTCCAGATAAGGAATAGTTATTTACATTCCAAGCTGCGAAAGTGTACTTTAAGGTGCGAGGTGAATTCAAATAGCCGAGGCTATTCGAATACCTCCGAGCAACTAAAAGGGCTTTTGCAGCGTGTAATGTATTAAACTTTTCATTCTTCCCCTTGTGATATCTTGGGGGTTAAGGCTAAATGAGAGTCCGAACACTTTCGTATAATACTGCTTTATTTCGCGTCGGTTAGGGACAGAGCACATAGATTACACAATACTTGTTTATTAGGTTATTTCCATGCTACCAAAGCGCCAGAGACGTCTGTACGTCCGCTATTTATATGCGACACTTGACAAGGCAATGTTGCCGCGTTGCCACACTCCCCCACTCCTAAATTCTTGCACAACCCTTGTGAGCGAAGGCTTCTTTAAAAGCTTACAGTGCGGTTTTAAAATGTGCTTCTTCAGGAGTGAAGTGGCGTTTAAACCCACATTATGTAATGCAGGCATTTATGCATGACTTAAACTACATACATAGTAATTCTGGTATTTGTACCTAGGTGACAACAAACCCCCTAGCTCTGGATGCTTGTTAGGTTAGTGACGTTTACATTTTGTAATGTACCTCTGAGCATTCTGGAGTCTCGAGCCTGCCCTCACCCTGAGATACTTTCTACATTCTACTTGAACAGAGAAAGAAAAATAAATGAAAATAAATGGAATACAGAAAAGAAGGAATTGTGCCCTAACCAACAAGATTGAACACTGCTACACATAAAATATAAAATTATACATACATAAGATAAAATAAACATGAAGTACACAATATGTGCTTGTCAAATTACTTACAAACCTAACAGTAATGCTTATTGCATTCTAAGTCCATTCAGTCTTTATTGAGTATATTCAGACAGGTATGATGGTGTTCTCAGCTGCCTTTTTGGCCTTAAATCTGGCATTTTACTACTGGATTGTCCAGTTTCGTCAATCAAGACCCTACTATGACCAGAGGTGCTTGGAACATCATCACTTACTGCCTCAAAAGTTTTAGCTATTAAAACAGATGACTGCTGAGAGTTTGACACCACTGCATTTAGAAAATTTTCGTCAGAGTCAGAGGCGGTACTATGAAAGCTGGTGCTGCTGAGCTCATGATCGTCCTGACTGTACGTCGCCCACACTGGACTCTTCAACTTGAGGCAGAGATGTTGGGATATTGATAAAATAGGGAGAGTTATTAAAGCTGACTTTTTTGTTCATATCTTTTTTTGAGACAGAGACTGGGGCTTCATTAGGATTCTGAAAATCTGCAATAGAGTTTGAGTTTTTGGTGTCCAGCTCCACTGGCTTTCCTGAAGGCAAGTATTTATGAATTTGGTTGCTATGACGAAGCCACAGTTGTCCTGTCGACAACCTGCACATGTAGGTGTTTTTTCCAATTTTCTTGGATATCCTTGCTTGAGACCACTTTCTTCCCCGACTACCTGTGTAATCTACGATAAAAACTTTTTCACCATTTTCAAAATGTCTAGTATTTCCACCGTGATACTTTATTTGGCGATGCTGTGCGATCTTCGCTTGATTTAATCCTACTTTTTCTGAGTTTTCTCGGTCTTTGTATGGTAATTCTTCAATTTGGGATAGTCTTGTCCTGGCTTCTCTGCCATACATCAAGTAATGTGGTGTTTTGTTTGTTGAGGAGTGTGGTGTTGTCCTATAGGACATCAGGAATCTGGAAATGAGGGTTTCCAGAGGTAGTTGTTTATTTCTCGGGTCTTGCGACGCTGTCTTAACCTTGCTCTTAAAGGTTCTCACTGCATTCTCTGCTGCTCCGTTACTCCTAGGATTATTCGTTGGAGAGGTAAGATGTTTAATTCCGTTTTTGGCAAAAAATTTCTTTAAGCTGGCAGACACAAACATGCTGCCGTTATCGCTTACTACTGTTTCCGGCAATCCAAATCTGGCGAAAGTCTTGCGCAGCTTTGACTCAGTCTCAAAAGCTGAAGTGTTTTTCATGAGGAAGACCTCTACCCATTTGCTGTAAGCATCTATAAGGATTAGAAAGTCCTTGCTCTTCAATGACAGAAAGTCTATGTTAATTCGTTCGAACGGTTTTGAGGCCAATGGCCATGGAGTCAAGCCTGATTTGGGCGGATTGTCCTTGTTTAGGATGCATATTTGACATGACTTTGCCAAATTTTCTATGTCTGAATCGATGCCGGGCCAGTATACATATGATCTTGCCAGGGCCTTCATCCTCGACATTCCCCAGTGAGATGTGTGAATTTCAGAAAGAATCTTTTTTCTCAGGGTCTCCGGCACAATTATTCGGTGAGAAAGTAGGAGTATTCCGTTTTCCAGCGAAATTTCGTCCCGTCTGTTGTAGTATGGCCTCACACTTTCACTGATTTTGCCACTCCAACCATTTTCGATGCAGGCTTTCACACTCTCCAGGTCAGCATCAAGTAGAGTTTGTTGCTTGATTTCTTTGTTGTTTATTGGCCAATCCTCCTGGCACTCTGTGAAGTTCACGAACAACATCTCTGATTCTTTTCCTCTCTCTGCGTCTGGTGGTGGTGCTCTGCTAAAGTAATCTGCAACAAAATTTTGATCCCCTTTTATATACTGGATCTCGTAGTCAAACATGGACAAAA